TGCATATCGTAATATCATTTTCTCAAATAGAAGACAATTTTCATACAATTCTTTCTGTTAAGATACTTTTATTTGATTTTTCCATTGTATAACTTCAAATTATAGATGTAACCTGGAAAAAAAGGATATTCATTTCAAAATGGCTTTAAATTTTATCATATTACCATTTATTTTATTTGATTGCAGAATCTAGCTTTTTAAAAATTGTTTACTTCGAATTGTCGAGAATCTTCACAATATATAGCAAGAAATAATATAATAAATTTTAAAATAGAAATTAATTAATTCTTTTTTGGAAAAACTGAAATATAATTTTGACATGAAAAGTTTATATCGATCACTATATTATTTACATTACATATTAATAAATGATTAAGTCACTAATAATTTATATTAAGCAAAATATTGCAAGATATTATGATCACAATATCATATATACATATAATTTTTGAATAATTATTTAATTTTTTTAATTTTATTTCTTTTTTCTTTTCAATAAATTTTTTTAGAAAATAAATCGTTATATATTGAAAATATTTCGAAAAATTAATATTTTCATTTTTAGAGCACAATTATTTAATTGAATTAAAAGTAAATCTGATTCAGCGTAATCTCAATTTGCAATAAGAATCTCTTACATAATTATTATTTATATTTATATCTATGTCTACATCGGAATTATTTGAATTTATTTTTTCTGATTTAATTTATTAAATCAGAATCATCATTACTGTTAACCAATATCTTGATCAAATATATCTATTCATATCATTCATCTTTTTAAATTTTTGAAATACTTCTATAAAAATAAAATAATTTGAAACAACTATCCATATAAGAAATACAACTATAATAAAGTTTATATAATAATATATTAGTCTTATCTTTATATATTAATGTATCAACGTGAAGTATGTTCTGAATTGCAATAAATTAAATTCGAAAATATACAAGATGAATCAGAAATTGATTCTATATAAAAAAATGAATGGAAAATATAGAATAAAAATTTTTAAATATAATATAATATAATGAAATTGACTAATTCTTCAAATTGAATATGAATTATTAATAAGTAATTATTTTACATATGGAAAATATAAAATAAAATTTTATTGAATAAATTTTTGGTTTTGAGAAAATTGATTAAGAAAAGATTGAATATATACAATTAAGAAATCGTACAGGAATAGGCAAACTTTTAAATTTAATTTTTTTACATAAAATCAATGCTATACTTTCCACGTATTCAGACTTATCTTGCATTTCCTAGTAAATATAATGAAGCTTATTATTCCAATAAAATCCCCAAATATTTCCAAAGAATTAAAATGTAAATATAAATTTTATTGATTTATAATTAATTAAATGAAAGTTCTTAAATTACTTATATGTATTATTTATTTAGATTTCGAAAACTTCGAATGATAAAAATAGCAAGATTTCCATTCACAATTCTATTAATTTGAAAAATAAAAATAATTTTTTAAAAATGATTTATGAATCAATAATCTTTTTTCTACAAATCTTTCTTGATTCAAACATTATCTTCTTCGTGATAATACAATCTATAATAAATAAATAAATGATGTATCTTTTTTTTTTGATTCAAAGTTAAAAATAGATAAAAAATTATTATATTTGAAAATAATAAGAAAAATAAATACTATATATTAAATAATATATAAATTGCAACTAAATCTTTTTTAAAGTTATTTGTTGAAATTCTCTTTTATTTTTGTTAGATATCCAGAAATAAATTATTATAAAAAAAATTTGAAATATATGAAGATTTTTAACATTTATTAATTATAATAATTTTCTAATATTTTCTTAATAAAATTATAACATTCATTTTTGATAAATAAAAGAAAAAAATTAAAGATCTAATGTATATGT